TTCTGCATTTATTATCTTTTGTTCCTCAATTGCTATCATATTCGAGACTCTTTCTCAAAATTGTGTCCCTATCTTATTTATTTGCTCTTCCTTTGTTTTTTTAATGCCTCACTGAGATGATATATTGCACCATTGGACTTTGTTTTTATATTAATTTGTTGCAGATAGCACTAAAATCTATATCTTTGGGGTGATTGATTGTTACTCGCGATCTGTCAGGCGATGAATGGCTACAGAAGATCAACTTATCATTTGTCTTTCTTGGTGCTGATTGCCGTACTGTTTAATTCCAACAAATTTTGGTTTTGTTTTGAAAGTGGTGATTCTTTTTAATAAGCATGGTTATTATTACCTATTATTGTGACATATTTGTACAACACTGCTGTAAATCAGCATGCAATGTAATAGTGTGAATAGAATATGAAATAGAACAAGCCTTTGTAATTGGTGATGAATATTGAAGGTAGAAGAATACTGCATAGCAGTGTATATATTGAATTTTCACGTTGGACAAATTGAAGCAGCAGTTAGAGGAATGTAACATTACTATTTATCTGTCAAACATATAAGAATATTAGTGACTAACTTGTAATTTGCCACCTTCCACATTTACTTTCTGTAGTCTGTTGCAAAGTGTATGAGCTATCATTTTTCCATCTCTTTCATGCTATGGATCCTGCTTGCTAATGCACAAAATTGTGCCTATATTGGCTTTTTAAAAATTCATTTCAGCCAAACATAGGTGACAACCAGAACTTATATGGAAAGAGATTTGGAGTGATGTAAAGTAATTGACAATAATGCCCGTTTATTAGGAAAGATTTCAGGACATCTCAAAATGCTATACAATTAGAGTCATAGAATCGTAGAGATATACAGCATGGAAACAGACCCTTCAATCTAACTCGTCCATGCCAACCATATATCCCAGATAAATCTAGTCCCATTTGCCAGCATTTGGCCCATATCCCGCTAAACCCTTCCCATTCAAAGACCCATCCAGATGCCTTTTAAATGTTGTAATTGTACCAATCTCCAACACTTCCTCTGGAAGTTAATTCCATACACGCACCCTCTGTGAAAAAGTTGCCCCTTAAGTCCCTTTTAAATCTTTCCCTTCTCACCTTAAACCTATGCCCTCTAGTTTTGTACTCCCCCACCCTGGGGAAAAGACCTGATTTTATAAACCTCTATAAGTTCACCCCTCAGCTTCTGATGTTCCAGAGAAAAGAGCCCCATTCTATACAGCCTCTCCCTATAGATTAAACCCTCCAACCCAGGCAAAATACTTGTAAATCTTTTCTGAACCCTTTCAAGTTTCACAACATCCTTCTTTTAGCAGGGAGACCAGAATTACACTCAGTATTCCAGTAATGGCCGAACCAATGTCTTGTGAATGATTAGTAGTCATCACTATAAGAAACATTCAGCTAATTTGTAGATAGTAAAGTTTCTCAAAGAGCAATATGATAATCACCAGATTAGATGTTGAACAAGAGACAAATACTGATCAAGAACTCCCCTTTAAAACAGTGACTTCTCATTTCCACTCACCGAACAGGTCCAAATGACATTTTGGCCTAAGCTCTATTTGAAAAATAACACATTCAATAGTCCAGCACTTCCTGAACACTGTATACTACTAGAATATCTGCATAGATCTTGTTCAAGTCCCTGTTATGTGCCAGGAACCCACAACCCTCTGACTCAGAGGTGAGAATGCTGCACTTAACACAGACATTGTAATGATGAGTTCTATCACTTCTCCAATTTCCAATTTCCAAATCGGTGGAACAGGTGATGAATACCACATTTACTGTAAGCAATCTCTTACATGTTGGTAAAATCAATTACTTATTGAAATGGTGACGTACCCCTTCATTTCTTTTGTGATAATCATTAAATGCACACATTCTTCTTAGTGTGCTGAGAGAGGCACAGTTCTCATAAAACACCATTTCATGGCACAATGAGTAAATTACATTCATTATTACCTATTTCCCATATGAGGTTCTCTATATTTAAAGTAATCTGTATAAGACAAAAATGTAGAATTGTTTCTGTAATTTGCTTCAAAATTTATTTAAGAACTATTTTTTCATGTCCCAATATTGGGCCAGACAATCTGATTTCAGAATTGATCACAACTTGAGTTATAGTATGTCAGTTTAACAACTTTGTTGCACTGCATTTACTTTACCATATTTCCAGAAAAGATCTGGAAAGTAGCAAGAGAAAGCCCTGAGAAATCTGGCCCAAAAGTAATGAACCAACTTGGCAATACTAACTATGTGCCTCTCCACTATCTCACATCCTTTGCTGTGAACATTTGTTGCTTATCTCAGTCCTTGACCCACTAAGATATATACTGACCATGGGTTGTAGGAGTCAAGAGATTTCCATGCTTAGCTTGGGTGAAAATGCCCAGGAAAACTGGATTTTCACACTGGGTAGGTGCTAACTAGAGTTGAGCTCACCAACCCCAGTGTCAGCCGCAGGAGCTGCAGGGAGGTGGAGGCAGGATTTGTGAAAGGCAAGCCTTGGTGCTTTGAGACTTCATCCAAGTTGCAATAAAAGAACTAAAAGAGAAACAGATCTCATCTTTCAATTTCACTCCCCAAGGACCCTTTATACCAATCTATGCCTCTTCATCCATCCCCATGCACCCAATATTCTCCATGTAAATCTGCTATTCCGCACAAGACACTTGTCGAATTCCTAATTAAAGCATGACTGCTATAAGCAAGATGTAGATGGTGAGTTGAGTGAAACAGTGGAAAATGGAATTCAATCTGCACAGGCATGAGGTAAAATGCACTTTGAAAGGTACAAAAAAGTAAAAATGCCGTAAACAAAATCGGAAATTGCAGGAAAAACTCAGCAAGTCAGGTAGCATCTGTGAAGAGAAAGCAGAGTCAACATTTTGGGTCCAGGTATCCTTCTTCAGGACCTTCATATCGTGAATCCAATTTTGTTTCTGATTTCCAGCATCCACAGTTCTTTGTTTTTTTTTGTTTAAAAATGCCATAGTCCTACCAGACCATAGCACTGCTCTTTCATTAGAGGGAGAGACAACTGGTGGTTGCTAAATCTCAGGTGAGCATCAAGGTTGAGAAGCAGAAGAGGAAGATGGGAAACAATGAATAGGAAGATACTGAGTAAAGTGGAGGAACAAATGCACCATAAGGTGTATGTCCACAGATCCTGATCAGGACAAGTTGATAGGGAGCTAAAGAAGGAATTCGCCGTATTCCTTTATTAGCTAAGGGATAAAACATAAGAACAAAATGTTGATGCTAAAACTGCATACAATATTTGTTAGACCACAGCAAGAATGCTGCAGATAGATATGGACACTGCAGTACTTCACAGATGTGACGCATTAGAGAGTGTGTAGCCTAGATCTGCTGCCTGCTTAAGCACTGAAATGTAACCTGTACCCACAAACATCTGCTCAGTGGCAGCAGAAGTTCTACCAACTGAGATAAGTTGACATGAAGGCTGCAGAGTGCAGGGCTGTAGCAGTACCGTCAGTTCTAATATATTTTACTGATATGTTTATCTTGTTTCCTTGAAATATTAGGTTACTTAACATTGTTTTAGGGACTGAGATAAACTCTCAGACTTCTAGATCTAATAGGACCAATTAAAAAGCTAAAGCATATTGCCAGCTTTTGTTATTGATATTTAGGTGCAATGCTTACATATACAGTATGTATGCAGATTGCTTCAGGACTCACTGCCACCATTCTGGCAGAATGTTAGTGTCCATCACATCATTTTTATCAATTGATTTGTCGTGCTTTTTAAGTAACTCTGTTTTTGAAGATGGCTGCGAATGGGAGTATCACATACACACATTCCTTTGCTGTTAGAAAAGGAAGAGCTAAAGATTGCACTTGATGGCCTGAACAAAGCTTAAGGCTGATATGCCAGTGTAGTAGTGAGTGAGTGCTTCACTAATGGAGGGCCATTGTCTGACATGATCTGCCAGATATGCTGCATATGTGTTAATGTTTTGATGCCTGTGGTATTGGTATTATCTTTGCCTGATGAAAGAAAATTTGGTAAAATAATTTGCCATTAATATATAGTTTTGACTTTGAACTTGAAATAGCAATCTGGCAACTTGCTTAATAGGAAATGTCATGCAGGATAAGTGCTGAAATTTATGAAGCTGACATGCCTCAGATGGTAGTATCAACCAGACTTCTGTTGATGCCAGATTGATAGAAAGATTTCTGTACCAGGCTGAAGAATTAACTTTTCTCAAACTTTCATTTCGTGGAGCAATGAAGAGTTGTTTTTCTCTTGTTCAACTGTCTGTTGGTCAATGAAATGACATCTCATCCTTTCTTTAAATAATTGAAACTTTGCTGCAAGATTCATGTTGAGAATTTTGTTCTCCATTGTAGCTTAAATGCTTTTTGTACCTTTACTGTATTTGTAGAACTTTCTGCTGAATTGCTCATGGGCTGTCCGTAGCTGACATGAACTGTACCATTTTACAGTTCTACCTGCTGCTTCCTTCTCATTGGATTGGAAGAAAAACAGCTGATGCTGGACACAGTGCAGAAAATCCATGGTTTCTGCTGATTACAATCTTACTGACTGTAAAAGGACTCAAGGTGGTCATCATTCACGTCACAAATATGAAATAAAATGTAATCCTTGTGTCTTGAAACTCCAGGTCAGAGTATCATTGAGACAATTTGACAACTGCAAAATTTAATTACTCTATCCCCAGTGGAAGGAATTTTGAAAACCATTATTGACTTTCTAGATTAAGTGGAATCTTTGAAGAAATAGTTGGATACTATGATGGATGTTTGTAAATTGGGCTGTGTTCAGTTAACTAATTTATCTGATGAAATAGACTCTGAAGGCTGCTGATCACCTGTTGAGTGAACTGTCCTCATTGCCATATCTGAGAAGGCTCGGGCAGAAACTGGGAGGTTACCAAGAAACATAAGATTCTAAATTTTTATTTTCTTTTCCAGATCCAGTTAATGTATCCATTGAACCAAGGTAAGACCCATGCTTAAATTTAGTCATTATTCTTTTTAACAGGTACTTTTGTGCTAAATAACACTTCTAAAATAACATGAAGCTGTGTTGGAAAATTACATTTTAATTAATGTGCGTATAAGACCATAGTATAGATATATATTGAATTGGACACATTCAGTTTCTATTCTGTAAAACCATGCCCAGTTGAATTCATATAATTTCAAATGTCTGACATCATCCAACTCTTAAATCTTAAGATTCTCTCACTTAGCTCTCACCACCAAATGTTTCAATTATTGTGACACTGAATTTCTTAAAGGAGTAGAACACGCAAGTTACAGCAATCTTTGTCTCGGTGAGCCACACATGCATTTCCTGGCAAACTGACAAGTGTATCCCAGAATAGACAAGGTTGTGTACAATAATTGGAAATCAAAGTAACCAGCACGGACTTGAAGAAAGCACCAAATTTAGATCATAATCCTTCCTGTATGCCAAAAAGTTAAATGTTTGAACCCAGCAAACAATCACTCATGCATATGTTATCCACAATATTAAGTTGAGCTCACATCCATAGCTATGTATAAGGTACCTCTCCATTTTGCACAAAAAAATGACTGGAGTACTTTCTTTAGTGTTGTGCACAGCAGAGCAATATAATTAAATGAGCAGCATAATTTGTTCAGAATGGAGCTTTAAATACAAGTGCTCATAGGAATATGAAGACTTATGTTATTTAATGTTCAAATTCTAGGTATATTTCAGTCTTAACAAAAAACTAAATGGATATTTCTGATATTGAAGTTGATGTCACTGGAGCAGAGAAGTTTAAGATGTACTTACATGGGGGTATTAAATTTTTAAAGACTATTCTTACAGGAAAGATTGTATAAATAAAGACTATTTCCTCTGAGTAAATTAGGTGCAAAGGGTCATTGATTTAGGCAATTACTATAAAGTATAATAGTTTCTATATTCTTGGGGTTGTTGGAACTTGAAAGATAGTGGAGGTAGAGTCAATTATATTTATGAAGTGAAAAGAGGATTGCAGAAATGAAGATATAGAATGATGGAGAGAGTTCAGACCAATGTGATTCATGTAGGTTTGCTCTAGCAAAGAGCTGGTTCAGATACAATAGATTTTTAAAAATGTTTTCATTCATTCATGGATGCCACAGGCTGGCCAGCATTTATTGTCCATCCCAGTTGCCCTTGAGAAAGTGGTGCTGAGCTGCCTCTTGAACAGCTGCCATCCATTTGATGTAGGTGCCCCTACATGGTTGTTACAGACAGAGTCCCAGGCCTTTGATCCAACAACACTGAGGAAATGGTGATATATTCGAAATCAGGCAGGTGAGTCATTTGGAGGGCATCTTGCAGATCATGGCATTCCTATGTATCTGCTGCCCTTGTAGTAGTGGGTATGGGTTTGGAAGAGCCTTGGTGAATTTCTGCACTGCACCTTGTAGATCATATATGCTGCTGGAACTGAATGTCGGTGGGAGAGGGAGTGAATGCTCGCAGATGTGGTGCCAATTAAATAGGTTGCTTTGTCCTAGATGGTGACAAGTTTCTTGTGGGATGTTAGATCTGCACTTATCTTGAAAGTATGCTGGAGCTAGATTCACTTCTGGCTTTAAGAAAAGGTTGGACAATTTTCTGAAGAGGAAGTAATTGCAAGACTACACAGAAAAAGCATGGAAGTATAATTATCATCAGCAGTCCCTTGTAGATGAGGATGACTGTCTTCCACTCTCAGGGTGAATCCGTAGGTGGCTGTACAGATTGATATGGCTACCGCAGGCTCTTTTACACTTGGGGGCAGGTGGTGGTCATGGTAAGGGGTGGGTGGGGCATTGGTGTGGCAGTGCTGCTTTCACCGTTTTCACCTGGCTTCCATTTTTTCCCGATGGCAATTCTTGAGGTGCTCAATGCATTCCCAGATGCTCCTCCTCCACTTTGGACAGTCTTGGGCCAGTGATTCCCAGGTGTCTGTGGGAATGCTACATTTCAGCAGTGAAGCCTTGAAGGTATCACTGAAGCACTTTGTCTGTCTACCTGGAGCTCGCCTGCCGTTTCGAAGCTAGGAGTAGAACACCTGCTTGGGGAGTCTCGTGTCAGTCATGCAGACGACATGGCCAGTCCATTACAACTGATCAAGGGTGGTCAGTACCTCGATGCTGGGAATGTTGGTCTGGTTGAGGACGCTGGTGTTGGTGCGTCTTTCTTCCCAGCGGATTTGCAGGATCTTGCGCAGGCAGCGTTGGTGGTACTGTTCCAGTGCCTTGAGGTGTCTGCTATATAATATGCTGAGTAGCTGTTACAAAAGTGCGAGCAATGGGCTGAATGGTTTGCTTCTGTACTCTGAGTCTGTGATGTGACACAGCATTAGTTCAGAGTTGCTGTGTACATTTCTTATGGTGAAAATTAAAATGCAAATTGAAAATTATACAGAAGCCTCAAACTCAAAATTAACAGCTTCCAAAAGTGAACTGGACTCTTGCTAGATATTTGACTCTGATGCAAGATGTTGCACTGGTCTCATATAGTTAAATGTTTCAGAGTAGAGTGGTATTAGGTGTTAATCCCATGACATTTCACAGCCTCATTTGACATAACTATTGATAAAACCACAAGTAATGAATGGCTGCCCATATTTGCTAATTGTAAGTAAAGTGATATGGTCCTGCAGGTAACAATAGTTGGTACTTTACTAACCACGATAGCAAGTGTGCTTGCAAGCAACAGTGGGTTGCACAAAAATGCAGATCTCTGCTTGGTGATAACAAAATGGTTATTCACCGCCACAGTTAATTTTGGGGCTTATGTAATTTTTGGTTTGACTATCGTTGCTTTGCCTTTCCTCTTCACTATGTACTAGTCTTGAAAAATGCTATGTAGAGTTGAAACTTGCCCCTCCAGTGAAAATTGGACATGTCACATGCAGGGATACGTCATCCAATTTCTCAGAATTTTTGGTATTTTCATCATTGTGGTGAAAGACTGAGTCAAGTACTCTTTAACAGGTTGATGTTTTTACTTTTCTGTGTTTCCTGTTAGCTGGTAGCCTGTCCGTCTCCATTTTGTCCTTTAAGCATTCTATAAGCTGTACAGACAATGTGTGAGAGTGGTGTGCTGAACAGATGTCTGATTATTTAACCTTTGGGCTAAATATAGAGCTTGGCCTTGCACATATCAAGTGCTATTATTTACTCGTCAAATTTTGAAGAAACTGTGGTCTGAAACCTGACATCTCCAAGGGATCATTGAACCTGTATCCTCTGCTGTGTCCTGTTTAGTTGCTCTTTTCCCATTGCAGACCATATGGTTTGCGCCATGACACTTGACTAGAGTACATTGCATTATATCACAACTTCCATATGGCAAGAGATAGTAGGAACTGCAGATGCTAGAGAATCCGAGACAACAAGGTGCAGAGCTGGATGAACACAGCAGGCCAAGCAGCATCATAGGAGCAGAAAGGCTGACATTTCGGGCCTAGACCCTTCATCAGAGTTCATCCAGCTCTGCACCTTGTTGTCTCTTCCATATGGCAAGCAGTTTCTTTGGTTCATTCACTGATCAAAAAAGCATATGGACACTATCTCTCTTTACTCATTCATGTGAAGTGAGAGTCAATCAGTAAGGCCAGCATTTGTTCCTCATCCCGAATTTCCTTTGGAACAAGAATTGGACTATAAACTGACACATCAGGAACTTTGATGGTATACATAAGAAATCATAGGTACGAACTGTGCCTGAGCATGCAATTATTTATTATTAGACTAACTATCTACTCCATTATTATCTGGTTGGGTCGACCTGCATTTTTTCAGTCGTTGTTTCTATTTTAGTGGTGCTGACATGTTAGAAATATTTCACACACCACCTTAACAAATAGAGGAACCATTCTTGTGTGGCAAGGCTACAAGATGGGAGTTTATTTTCAAATGCATTTGGTACAGAAGCCCTCGTGAAACCAGAAATGTAATGACACAGCACTGATGAAATGTTCCATATTTAAATACATATTTCAAAAGGGATAATCGTGTTTTGATCTATTCTAAATGGAAAAGAAGTGTGGATAAAGATGAACTAGAAAGAGTTGTTCCTATTATTTGGAACTCAGTCTGCCCAACCATATGATCACAACATAAGTGAGGTAACAGAAGTCAATCTGATTTACAATAGACCTGAAAGCTGTGATGCACCATTTTGTAAGTCATACTAAAATATTAAAAAATTGTTGACAGTTAAGTCTAGATCTTATACCCAACATGACTGAATCTAGAAGAAGTAAAATTAAGCTCATGCATCTACTCCTGTGTCTTCAATAACACTAATTTTGCTTTATTTCCATCTATTCAAGCCCAAAAACCATGATCAGGAATGAAAATTGCAACACTGAATCAGGTATGTGCATTATATCTATTAAGTATTGTATTTATGTATCTATGCAATCAAATAAAATAACGCTACCTATCCCCTGAACTTTGGAATTATCGTTTGGAGTTCTGCAATGTCTATTTATTCGATCAAATAGTTATCTTTCAAAGAAAATATTGAAACAAGAACTTCGCTCAATTTGTAATTATTGATACATTCCAGATATTAAGCAGATATTGCAATAAATGTCATCCCATGGACAAAATATCTTTAAAATCTAAGACTTCATAAAGCATAGTAGGTTTGCACTAAAAAGCAACCTATTTAAGCTTGTCTAGAACAGGAGAACCAGAGGCAATGACCTGTACTTGAAAGGGGAAAATTCAAAATTAGTATGGAGTAACAGTGCTTGGAATTTTCTGGGCCCTGTGGCAAGAGGTTGTGAAGCTCCCAAATGCCAGGGAAGTGCTTGACATCTTCTTGCTATGTACCACATTGCCAGCAGTGGGAAAGTTTGTCACTTGATCCTCTAATGAGCCAATTATGTGGAACCTTTGCAGCTCTGCAGGTATTTTGTCCACTTTGGCAGGCCCAACACTATAGCAGTGCCACCCAGTAGGTTACAGCAGGCTGTTCTTTAATGAAACTTCAAGGCCAGATCAGGGTTGGTATTCCATGATTAAGCACCCCACTCCCCCACCCATCCCTACCCCCAAACCTCCCAGCCCACGTGCCAATAACCAGGCTCTGACTACGTAGCCCTGGCCTGCCCTAATTTACCTAAACTGTCCTTAAAGGCCACTGGGCTGTAAGGTGGCTGCTACTTGCACTAAGGTGGTCTAACCCATGACCACCACCAGAGCTACTGGAACTCTGATTGGGCTGCCAGCAGAATGCCTTCACTTGCTGAAGAATAATGAAAAATTTTAGCCACTGTTACTCCGTCTTAATTTGGAATTTACCCCTTTCAAGTACAGGTTATTTTCTTTGGTTCTGTTCTTCTAGCCAAGGTTAAATACCTTGCTTTTTTAGTGCAACCCTACTGTGCTCTTTGAAACCTTAGATTTTAAAGAACTTTCAGCAATGGGATGAGTTTTATTGCAATGCCTACTTAATATCTGGAATGTACCAACATTTACAAATTGAGCTAAGCTCTTGTTTCAATATTTCCTTCAAAAGGTAACCTGCTTTGGGCCTTAGTAATGTGACTTCTGCCGTCTCAAATAAAGTCAGTTCAGTGTTTCAATCAGCACTGCCAAACGTGTGGTACACATGCTATTGAGAAGATGGTGGAAGCCATTCATACTGTTCATTCAAGTGCAAATAAAATAGAATTCTTTCAGAAACTAACCTGTTTAATTCAGGACATAAACAATTGGACCAGGTAGTAAGTGTTGTTAACTTCAGAAGAAAGAGGTGACTTTGAACCGATTATTCCTGAATCTCTTCGCCTTTTTCTGTTCTGAAACAAGTTCAGAATTTGATTACTGTGCTTAATGAACAGCTGCATTATCAACACATAAGGAAAAAAGTTGAATGTTAGAAAACAAAACCAGTTGGATCTTTGAGACAGTAAGAACTGCAGATGCTGGAGTCAGAGACAACACAGTGTGCAGCTGGAAGAACACAGCAGGCCAGGCAGCATCAGAGGAGCAGGAAAGTTGACATTTCAGGTTGGGACCCTTCTTCAGAAATGGGGAGGGGGAAGGGAGTCAGAAATAAATTGAGAGAGGAGGGGTGGGGATGGGGAAGGTATGTGGGATGGTGATAGGTGAGTGCAGGTAGGGATTAGTCATTGGGATGGGAGGGGTGGATAGGTGGGAGACAAGATGGACAGGTTGTGTCAGGTCAAGGATGAGGCTGGGCATAGGATGAGGTCAGGGGTGGGGAGATTTTAAAACTGGTGAATTTCATGTTTGAGCTGTTGGGCTGTAGGCCCCTGAGGTGGAATATGAGATGCTGCTCCTTCGGTTTGCGGGTGGTATCATTGTGACACTGGAGGAGGCCCAGGATGGACATGTCACCCAGGGAGTGGGAGGGAAAGTTAAAATGGTTGGCAACCGGAAGGTGTTGTCGTTTGGCACATATAGAGTGCAGATGCTCTACAAAATGGTCTCCAAATCTACACTTGGTCTCAACAATGTAGAGGAGGCCACATCGGGAGCAGCGGATACAGTAGACCAAGTTGACGGATGTGCAGGCGAACCCCTGTCAGATATGGAAGGTTTGATTTGTGCTTTGAGTGGAGGTGAGAGGAGAGGTGTAGGGGCAGGTGTAACACTTCCTGCAGTTGCAGGGAAAGGTGCTGGGGGTGGTGGGGCAAGTGGGGAATGTGGAGCGGACGAGGGAGTCGCGGAGAGAGCGGTCCCTACGAAAGACAGATAGGGGTGGGGAGGGAAATATCTCTTTGGTTGTGGGATCGGATTGTAGGTGGCAGAAGTGACAGAAAATGATATGTTGGATGCGGAGGTTAGTGGAGTGATATGTGAGGACAGGGGGGATTCTGTCTTTATTTTTGCTGGGGGAAGGAGTTGTGAGGGCAGAAGTGCAGGAAATGCAAGAGGTGTGGTTGAGGACATTTTTGATCACAGGACGGGGGATGTTATGATCCTTGGAATAGGAGAACATCTGGGATGTGCGGGAGTCGAATGTCCCATCTTATGAGCAGACACGGTGGAGGCGGATGAATTGGGAGCAGGGGATCGCATTCTTGCAGGAGGGTGGGTGAGATATTCATCTCATAATTTGTGCAGTCGTGTGTTGGGGCTGAATGGTAATTCATTACAATAATTGAAACATTGCTGCAGAGTCTGTCAGAAAATGCAACTCGACCTAACCAGCCATGTTGTATCTTCCATTCCAAAGTTGCCATTTCACTTCAAAGAGTGTGTTTTAAGATTGTGTTCGCACAGGGATTTTTATCCCACTGGACATTAACAAAGAGCAGAATCGAGGCTGCTACTGCCCATGTATAAAATAAATGAATTAGAATTGGAATTTCACTTGTGTGTCTCTTTAAATATTCATTTATCCCCATTGGCTAGAGACTAACCAGCAGACTGTCTGCCTGTTTCTGAAGAAGGTTCCCGACCTGAAACGTTAACTTTCTTGCTCCTCTGATGCTGCCTGGCCTGCTGTGTTCCTTCAGCTCCACACTGTGTTGTCTCTTGCTACCCCTGTCTGTTAGTATCCTACCTGACCATCGCCATCAAGCACTGAGTGCTAAAAAAGGAGAGTAACTTTCCTGAAATAATGATGAACATGTCATGCCACTATGATGTTTCCCAAGTCTGCTTCTTGGCCTCACTTATGAACAAATTTTACCTTTAAGGATAATACAAATTTAGGGCTGATCTGATACATTGGGATTAATTCCAGCATCATATTCTCCTTGGCATTGTCATACGTAACAGGACTGCATTAGCCGATAGTCTTCAACTTGTCACCATTCTTCATGTGTCTTTCGTGTGAAGGCAACATATTAACCTTGTCATAACTTATTACTGCCTTATAAGTTGAGACTTCTTCCAGATTCCAGTACAGATCATTGTGGAATTCGATCCTGGTCTGTATTTGACTAAATGTTCTTTGCATCAGCTGCAGGTTTTCAGGCTGCCCAACTCCCTTTGTACTTAAAAATTTAACAAACTTTTCAAGATGCTTTCACATGCATCTTTCATGTCATGATCAACAAAACCTGGTTCTAATTTTTGTTGCATCATTATAGCAAAGGTTTGCACTTTCTATACTTGACTGAACAAAATATTTGAGTGTTATGCTAGTTGAAAGTCAATAACCTTTGTCAAGCATGGAGGTATCATTAAATTATGCATCATTATGTGTGATTTTATTATAATCCCACAAACTTGATATGTTTTCCAAGAAATGATTGCCAGAACAATTGCAACTAAGCATTTTTAATCTCTAACCATTACACCAATGAAACTAGGCCATTGATGTTTTACACAGAAAATCAGGAAATTAAACTGCCAAGTCTTTTGACAAATTGCACCATTACTCAGATATAGCAGATATAAATGCATCATTGATAACTGGATTCAGAGCTACATTCATTCCTCTGAATCATTTGTGGTTAATGTGTGATAGTATTCTGACAGTAAAGGAGTTACACTAAAGCATGCAAGCTTCCATCATAAAGGGATATGTCCCTGAGTTACCAATCATTTAGTTTCTATTTTTTGACTGTGATCAGTACTTTAAAGCTTGTTTGCAACAGCTTTCACTGGTGTTGGGACAAGAAAGTCCCAGGTTTGATGAAATATCTATTCTCAGCTGAGCTGCACTGTGGAAACCTCAGTTTAGATGAGTTTTACTATCATGATCTACTTCAAAGTAAGTTTGCCAGTATACCTTAACAAGGGATGTTCGTGATATCTTCACTGTATCATAACATGTGACTCGTGCAAATAAAGGTCTCAGGCTCCATCATAACTAGGGCCACTTAAAGCTTGACGCACTGGGAGAAGAACACTACTCTTTGTAACCAAATAGTTTAATATTAGCCCCACATAAGGATGTGCTTATGAATGTATGAGTTGTATATATTATTAATCAGTAATAAACATCTGTAGGTTCTTTAAATATCATGTTACCCATGCCCTAGTTTCATATGTTATGGGGGATAACATAAGCATTGCACATTGAATAAAGATACCCTCCTGGAGGAAACACACACACAAGTAAAGAGAGAAACTAAATCACCAAGGGTGTATATTATCCATTGACCGCTGCTAGAAATGTGTGCTCTGATCTTATAATCCTAACAACTGGACAATTTATCCTTGACTCAACGTTCAAACGCAACTAAGAAAAGTTTACCTAAAAATCTATTTTAAGAAATTATCGGAATCTGTAAGAATTGGGATGGAGTTTTAAATTGACCACAAAGGGAATTACTATATCTGGAGCATGATTACTTTTTCTTCCTCTTCGAAAGAATCTTAGTGAGGTACTCACAACTGTGTGTATTCTGCACATGACCCATTTACTTATGTATAAGTCCTCCAGAAGCTTGGTGCAAGCAAAAGAGTAAAGTGTAAAGGAATAAGTGAGAAGTGTAAAGGAATAAGTGAAAAAGTGTAAAGGAATAAATTCCAAACCTGGCACATAAGAACACAGACAATAGGAGGAGGAGTTGGCCATTCATCCCTTAGAGCCTGTTCCGCCATTCAATATGATCCTGGCTGATCCTCTATCACAACACTATATTCCTACTTTCTGTCCATACTCCTTTCTTTCATTTATTCATGTGTGGGATGGGGCCATCGCTGGCTGGCCAGCATTTATTAGCCATCCCTAGTTGCCCTTGAGAAGGGGGTGGTGACCTTCCTTCTTGAACTGCTGCAGTCTACTTGCTGTGGGTTTACACACAGTGCCCTTTGGGAGAAAATTCCAGAATTTTGACCCAGCGACAGTGAAGGAATGGCGATATGTTTCCAAGTCAGGATGGTGAATAACTTGGAGAGGGACTTGTAGGTGGTAGTGTTCCCATATATCTGCTGCCCTTGTCCTTCTAGATGGAAGCGGTCATGGGTTTGGAAGGGCTGTCTAAGGATCTTTGATGAATTTCTGCAGTGCATCTTGTAGGTAGTACACACTGCTGCTACTGAGCATCGGTGGTGGAGGGAGCAATAACAGACAAATGAGAATGGTTACCCTTATTTTTTGACATCTGAGAAATGATCTATGAAGCAGATGAATTTTAAAAAGGGGCAGTAAAAATAAGTAGGAATTGGAGAAAGTACGTTTTATGTAGTATTTACAGAACAGAAACAGGTCAGCATTTCTGCCCAACATGAGTTTCCTCACAGCCCTCTTCATCTCAACCTATCTCTCTATCTGTTTTGGAATTTGTTCGCTTTAATATTTGCATATTCTGCTTTAATTTGCAGATATAATATATGCATTTGTCAAGAGAAATAATCTACCAAGCAATCCAAAACATGCAACAGGTAGGTTCAACTTCATGGACTTCAAATTCTTTCCTTAATATTAATATCCTAGTATTACAATAATTGCATATATATACACACATATTTATTTGAATCACCAAAAGCAGATCATGTCAATGAATACAGCGATATAGAACAGGAGGAAGAAGTGTCCTATGCAGATATTGTCATTCATCATCCAAGGCAACAATGCTGCGACCAACAGCCCGAGGTATGATTATTTCAGTACCACTTTCCTTGTTCATTTATTCTCTTTGCCTGACTGTAGATTTAAGGAAAGGGACCAGTCATAAGTTAATGCTGTTAGGAAGAATTAAATCTGGGAAGAATTGTGAATTGATTCATTGACTGGCAGGATCTCCCTACAGATGAAGCGAGGCTCAGTAGCGTAATGAACAAGGGATTCTGATATTATAGGAAATTGTCTTCATGTAGTACTAGAGAGAATACTCAGAGTTAACAAGGACCTGCCATAGACTGGGAATTGTTCTCGTATTATCTACTACCTTACTTTCGTGTAAGGAAGAATATTGCTGTAAAATACAACACTGGTCTTTATCAGGGCTTTAATTCCGTGTATATAGTGAGATACTTTGTGCCCATTTGGTGCCTCTTTGCAGTCATAGTTTAGGAAATGAAAGTGAACATAAATCCATGGGTAGGGTGAATTGAATCTGTGACAAATCAGTTAGCTTTTACATTTAGTGCTCACAGTGCCTGAGCTGGAGCCAGTTTTCTTGCGAACCACATAACTAGGGAAATAGAAAGTGTTTTAAACTAATTAGCAGGAGCAAGTACATTAAAGAGTAGAGACAATGTACGAGAGGAAGGTAGTATTATGGAAAATGAAGATTAGGGAATGGTAGGAAGGGGCACAGGGCAAAAACCTAGGAATAGACCAAAAATCAAGACTAGATGTTGCAAGGTAACAATAATAAAAAAAAAATTAAAGGCTCCCTATCAGAATGTTCATAGCATTCGTAACAAATCTAATGATTGATAGTGCATAATGAAGTAAATAAATACGATCTGATAAATGTTATGGGGACATGGCTTCAGGATGACAAGAATTGGTTCCTGAATATTGAGGGATTTATGATGTTCAAGAAAAATAAGAAGCTAGATAATGGAGCACTGTTGTCCAGGATAACATTTGTACGGTTGTTAGAGATGACCTTGGTCATGGAGATCAGCATATAGAATTGGTTTGCATCCAGATGAAGAATAGTGGGGAAAGAAGTCATTATCAAGGGTGTTCAACAGGCCTCCAAACAATAACTATAATATAGAACAAATTATAAACAAAAAAATATTGGATGTTTATGATAAAGGGATGGCACTAATCATGGGTGACTTTAATCTATATGTAAACTGGAAAAATCAGACAGGTAATAGTTGCCTGGATGAAGGTTCATAGAATGTTTTCAGGATAATTTATTAGAGCAACACGTTTTGGAACCATGCGGAGAGTAAGTTATACCAGATTTGGTATTGGGTAATGTGATAGGATTAGTTAGTGAGGCATCCCAGATAGCAGTGACCACAATGTGACTGAATTTTATACCCAATTTGAAAGAGAGATTGGTTTAGGACTAGTATTTTAAATAAGGCCAACTATGCGTCATGAAAGCTGAGCTAGCTGAAGTGAACAGGTCTACGAGATCTAGGAATAGATCATTAGCCACACAGTGGCAGACATTTAGCAGATATATAATAATACTCCAAATAAATATTTTCCTACTGTAAAGAAATATTCTATAGGGAGGCCCCACCATTTGTGGCTAACTAAACAAGTTAGAGATTTAAGGAAAAAAACATGTAACCGCAGAAAGTTGAGCGGCAGTTAAAATGGTTGGTCAGAATATAAAGAAAAACAATAGAGACTTTATATTTGTAAAGTTAATCAGGATGAAGAAATTAGGATGTGGCAGGAAGCTAGTTAAAAACACAAAGATGGAGATATTACAGTTATTTCAAAAAGAAACAAGTAAAAGTAAGTGTTGGTCCTCTAGAGAGGGAGAATGGGGAGTTAACAGCAGATTTTAAGGAAATGGCTGAACAAATGAGCAACTTATCATGTTTCTGTTTTCACTATAGAGGGCACTGAATCAAAGATCATTGAGGTCATAGTTATCAATCAGGAGGTGGAATGGAGAGGGGAATTTACAAAGTTTCCATCATGAGGGAAGTGGCACGAATCAAACTGATGGAGCTGTGAACTGACAAGTTTCAGTGTCTGGATGAAGTAAAAGAGGCTGCTAATGAAACAGTAGATAGATTGATGTGAAATTTCCAAACGTCTAGGAAACGTTCCATCAGATTGGAAAGTAACAAATGTAACACTTCTAGTCAAGAACAGAGGAAAACAGAAAGCAGGAAACAAAAGGTCTGTTGTGAGGTAACCGTTAGAACCAATCATTCTAACAAATTATAGATATGCATACAAAAAGAACTCAAGATAATCAGGAAGAATCAGCATCATTTTATGAAAGGGAAATCATTTAACCAATTTATTTGAATTATTTGAAGGAGTAAACATTGTCTACATGAATTTTAGAAGGCTTTTGACAAGATTCCGCATGTTAGACTGGTTAGTAAAGTTAGATTGCATGGGGTCCAGACAGAGCTTGCAATTGCTTGACGGTAGGTGACAGTGGAGGGTTGTTTTTCAGACTGGAGGCCTGCGACCCATTCCACAAGAGTGCAGAGTTCACTGTTGTTTGTAATTTATATAAACAGTTTGGATGAGAATATAGGAAGCATGGTTAGTAAGTTTGCGGATGACACCAAAATTGATGGTATAGTGGACAGTGAAGAAGGTGCACAATGGGATCTTGATCAACTGGGCCATTGGGCCAAGGAGTGGCTGATGGAGTTTAATTTAGATAATTGTGAGGTTTTACATTTTGGTAAGACTAACCAGGGCAAGTCTTACACAGTTAATGGTAGGGCCCTGGGGAGTGTTGTCAAACAGAGAGACCTAGGGGTGCAGGTACAAAGTTCCTTGAAAGTGACATCACAGGTAGACAGTGTGGTGAAGAAGGCATTTGGCAGGCTTGCCTTCATTGCTCAGACCATTGAGTATAGGTGTTGGGATGTCATGTTGCGGTTGTACACGGCATTACTGAGGCCACATTTAGAGTACTGTGTACAGTTCTGGCTGGCCTGCTATAGGAATGATATTATTAAACTGGAAAGGGTGCAGAAAAGATTTACAAGGATGTTACTGGGACTGGAGGGTTTGAGTTATAAGGAGAGGCTGGATAGCTGGGACCCGTTTCCTTGGAGCTTAGGAGGTTGAGGAGTGACCTTACAGAAATTTGTAAAATCGTCATCGACAAGGTGAATAGCCAAGGTCTTTGCCCTAGAGTAGGGGAGTTCAAAACTAGAGGGCATATTTTTAAGGTGAGAGGGGAAACATTTAAAAGGGATCTGAGAGGCAACTTTTTCACACAGAGGGTGGTTCATATGTGGAATGAACTGCCAGAGGAAGTGATCGACGCAGGCACAGTTACAACATTTAAAAGACAGGTACATGAACAGGAAAGGTTTAGAGGGATATGGGCCAAGCGCGGGCAAATGGGACTAGTTTAGTTTGGGAAATATGATAATTATGGACAAGTTGAACCAAAGGTCTGTTTCCATGCTGTATGACTCTATGACTCTGTGAGTAAAATATGGTCTGGATACAGGGAGCCTGTAAATGTAATATGCTTGGATTTCCAGAAAGCATTAGATAAAGCACTAAATCAAAGGCCATTGTGGGCAAATAAAGCTTGGAGCATACAGGGTAATATATTAGTATGGATAGAAGATTGTCTGGCAGAAAACGGGGAGTATGCATAAATAAGTCTTTGTTTGATTGGCAGAATGCGATCTGTAAAGTTCTGTAGGGTTCTGTGTTAATGTCTCAACTTGTTCCAGTTTATATCAGCAACTTAAGTGAGGAAGTGAAAGCATGGTAGTTAAATTCATAAACAATGCCACGATTGTTGAAAAATATGCTTTGAAGAAGACATAAGGAACAGTAATAGATAGGCAAGTGAACGGGGAAAAGAATGTTGCAGACGATGTGTATTGTGAGAAAATGAGAAGTTGTTCATTTCCATAGGACGAGTACAAAAGCAGAGTATTGGTGAGATTACTTCTCAACGTCTCACATTAAATTTAATGTGTGGTTTAGGTGTCTTTATTTAAGAAGGCAGTTCAGAGGAGGTTTACTGGATTGATACCTGGAATGAGCAGAGAACTACGAGCAGGAGTAATTAATTCAGCCCATCAAATTTAGTACCCTATTTAATGAGATTGTGGCTGATTTGAGAACTCTCAATTCCACTTTCTTTCCCCTTCCCCATAATACTTGATTCCTTTACTGATTAAAAATCTGTCTCTCTCAGCCTTGAATATGCTTGATCACCCAGCTTCTACAGCCCTCAGAGGTAAAAAAAATTCCACAGATTAACTCCCACTGAGAGAAGAAATTCTTCCCTATCTCTGTTTTAAAAGGGTGATGCTAGTGCTGAGATGGTGCTGTCTGATCCTAGACTCTCCCATAAGGAGAAACAACAGTTAAGCTTGTACTCTGTTACGTCCCCTAAGAATGTTATATGTTTAGTAAGTTTGCCTCTCATTCTTCTAAACTATAGTGAATATCAGTCAAACCTACTGAACCTCTGCAAAAAAGAAAATCCCTCAATGCCTGGGCTCAAACTAATGAACTTTCTCCGGACTACCTCCAATTTATATCTTTCCTTACATAAGAATTTCAAACTGTTCACAATATTTTAAGTATGGCATGTTTAGTTCGCAGTCCCGACCATCTCTCAGTAATGGCTTCTGTATCATAATCTTAATTTAATCATTATGCTTTATTCATTCACATATAGGACTCTTACTTTGGCTATACACTGTAACCTGTCCCTCAGCAATGATGCTTTATTCACCTGTTTATTATTTCTTTCTTCTGATTTAATCAATATACTTATTATAGTTTTATAGTACATTGTAATATGGCCATTACCTGCCATACCTAAAGCACGATTCCTGACTTTCTGTTTACCCTCTGTCCTGTCACTTGATTTTGAAACTATATTTCCCTTAAGATCCCCCACCCACCCACCCATAGCACCTCACCACCCATTTACTAGTTTAAAGTCTTTGTGATCACCGTATTTAGCCTTTCCTGGTACATTGGTCCCAGTTTTGTTCAGGCGCTGACAATGCCAACGGTACGTTTCCTCCTATCCAATATGATGCCTATATTCTGTGAAATGGAACCCTTCTTTCCAGCACCATTCTTTTAGCCACATGTTTACTTCCATAATTTTATTATCTCTGTGGCAATTTGCACTTGCTTTGGGTAATAATCCAGAGGTTTTAACTGCTGAGGTCCTATTCTTTAATTTTGATCCTAATTCCAGATATTCCCCAAATAAGACTTCTTGGCTACCCTGGCCTATATTGTTGGTCCCAACTTGGACCACAACAAATGGATCCTCCCCTCCCACCCCAACATTCTTTCCAGCTAGTTCAAGATGTCCCTTATCTTTGCAGGTAAGCAGCATGTCATGCAGGAGCTTACAAAGGATGCTGCCTCTACCTCCAATTATAGAATCTCCTTTTCTGTCACTTTTCTTTTTGTTCCCCCCTTTTGAATGGCCTCCTGTACTATGATGAAGTGAGCGGTTTGCCAATCCTCCCTGTAAGCCTTTTCCTCATCCAAACAGGGGGCAAGTACCTCACACTTGTTGAATAAGGTCAAGAGCTGAGGCAAATCCAATTCTAAATTCAGGATCCCTCTACCTGCCACATTGTAGTTACACCCTCCTGTTTCTGACTACTTGCCAAATTTGACGTACTTAACCTAAAGGGTGCGACTGCCTCCTGTGACACAGCATCCAGGTAACTCGCTCCCTTCCTGATGTGTCGCAGTGTTTGAAGCTAAGACTCCAGCTAATCAAATCTGAGCCGGTGTTCCTCAGGCAATCAATGCTTGCTACAGATATAGTTACTATAAACCACAATGGGGTCGACCAGCTCCCACATCATGCAGGTGTAACACATTGCCTGGCCCTGCATCTCTATATTATTTAATTAGTTTTTAATTTGTATTCTTTAATTTTTTTTACTGGTGTTTAGTTTTTAATCTGTAAAATGTTTCTCTAATTTACCTTTAAACTGGCAGCAACTCAGAATATGCATTCAAATTGTAGGAAACTGTCCTCAATACATTCAATGAATTTTTCCTCATGGCTACCCCTACCAATCTGCATGAAGTTTAAATTCACTAATGTTTTACCTTTTTATATGCACTTGTTATCTCCTAAAGAATTCTCTGTCATACAATATGACAATTATTAGGGATCCTGTCGACTTCTCCCACCACTGTCTTTTCCCCCATGTTATTTCTTACCTCTGACCCATACAGATGGTACATCTTCTGATCCAAACTCATTGCTTACTACTGTACTTATTCCATTTGGTACTAACAAAGCTGTCTCACCATCCTCTCCTTCCTGCCTGTCCTTTTGAAAAGTCACATACCCCTGAATATTTAGTTCCGGCTTTGATCTCCTGGTAACCATGTGTCTGTAATAGTTATAAGGTCGTACCCATTAACCTCCTTTTGTGCCATTAATTCATTTATTTTGTTCCAAGTGCTATGCGCATTTAAGTAAAGAGACATTAATTTTAACATTTTACAATTTTTCCCAATTTGTTCCTATTTTCTTTTTTTAAAAATCTTGGACATTTTGTCCTTTCTTGTCTCACAGTGAATGTCATCACCTAAACAGCTGCCCAGCAATGCCACTATATCCTTTTGCTTTATAAACCTGCATGCCCACTCTTCAGAATCCCTCTGTATAATTTAAAGTCCCCTGTACAGCCCTAGCTATTCAATTTGCTAGGACGTTGACTCCAGCACAGTTCATATGAAGCCCATCCCACTGGAACAGCTCCCTTCAAGCCCACTACTGGTGCCAGTGCCCCATAAACTGAAACGTATCCTACCTACACTAATCTTTGAGCCACACATTTAAATCTTTGATTTTATTTACCCCATGTCAATTTGCCAGTGGCTCAAGTAGTAAATCCTCAGATTGTTACCTTAGAAGTTCTGCTTTTCAATTTATGTAGGACAGACTGGGTTGTTTAGAAGAGTGAGGGGTGACTTGATTGAAATGCTTTATTCTATATTTGTCAGATGCTTCGTAAAAATAGTTGTGAATGGGTTTTGTTCATATATTTTTTCCATTTGTTGCAGCAAATCAGTGATGTAACAGGGAAAAATAACAGGGGAGACTTCAAATACTTGCATGGTTCATCTCCTCACAAATATGTTGATGACAACTCTGAATATTCGGTCGTGCGAGTTTCACACCAGGGCTTGAGAACTGTTTGACTGTGCAGCAGAGATAAGCTGTCCGATATATTGTCACATTGCTAACCAACCATTTGGCAGTATTCACAGGAAAGACTTGCTAAAGTGAAGAGATTTGTTCATGGAACATCTGCAAACTGAAGGATTGTGACTGAGCGGACAGGAACGCAATCAAGTTGGTTCGCAAAGTTTCCTGTGATTGTGTCAGGACTTTTCCATTCACTTTTTTTTAAGTTATTGGAAAACCATCGAGGGCCCAGCATTTTCGAACATCTCCAGGCCCCAGCTGCATAATCCAAATTTGTCTTTCCTACTCCTGCAACATAAAGAAGCATGGCAGCTGTTAGTACCCACAGTTCTCTGTGTACCTGACCCTTCCTCATGTATGGAATAAGCTTTAAGTTTATATTTAATTTTGAAAGCCCCAAATTCAACTTTTCCGAAGTTTGGAGATGCATCTGCACAAAGCATCAGAGCCAACTGGAATCTGATCTCAATCATCGTCCATGGATTTTTATGGCTGGAGACACAGACAACAGTGAGAAGCCAGAATCTCAGTTGTCTTTACTGCCCTGTTCATGGTGTCCTAGGGACAAGAAAACAAATGCAGTGCTAAGTTTACTGAGTTTAGCTAGCTCGGCATACACCAAGGGTCAAAACCTAAACAGTTCATCTGCTTCAGAATCAGAATGCACAGTCTACTTGTCATTAGGCCAACAATATACTAATGAGAAAACTTAACCTATCTAAACAGCAGTATCATTGTACGTACGTAGGCAAAACAAAAATCTACATTGCACTGTTTGAAAGTACAAAGCTGCAGGTTAGCAAAACTGTAAATAAATTCAATTCATAAATGAAACAATGTATTTTTCATGGAAATGTTCGTTCAAAATGTTATACGTGACTTTCAGCAACCATGAATACATCATATGAAATGTACAATTTACATTTGTTTCTCTTATTTTTACTAATGCAGAGTAGATTCTGTTATGTTACCACAATCTGACACTTTAAAGCCATTGTTCCTGTAAATACAAGTGTTGTGTCAGAGTAGCTGTTTTGCATATTTGCAAAAGCTAAGGAACAGATAATATCATCCAAATGTGACATATTTCAAAAAAACAAATAATTGCACTGAAGATATTGTAAATAGTTAAGAATGCTTAAGTTGGGTAGAATTAATTTAGCTGATACCACACAGGGTTGTTCACTGCAACTTGAAAATATTTATAAAATTTTCAGAGAAGTTTTTGAAAGTGTGGGCCTTTCTATTAATGAACGTGAACTTATGGAATCTAATCTTAATGTTTACCTCAACCATTGACAGCTTGTAATAAACTGGAGAGATTTTTTGGCATCTTGAGAGATTACAGGATCTGAGAATATTGGAGGATTTTAGAGCAGAGTCCTGGGTTTCAGGAGTACTGCCAAAAGTTTTTGTCACATGAAAGAGTGGGTAGACTTTCCACAAGCTTGTGGGCATTGAGTTAGGTCCTGCAACTTGGGGAAAGCCTATTTGTAAAGGTATGTTTGGAAGCATTGAAGTGACAATTATGGAGGAATGGATCTGAAGAGTTTGAGATCTAAACTGTATTGGGTTGCTTTTGAACAATAAGGTAATCTTGATATGTTTGTGCCTGTTCATTCTCTAACCTATCTGTGACTGATCTTGGATTGTCAGGTAACCCCTCTCATAACTTTTCACATAATTGACCAACTCCTACCTTCAAGCAGTAAGTGCATTCTAAGTGCTTTTACTATAACCTTTTTACTAAATATAGCTCTCCTAAAATATTGAAAAGTTAATCTCTTAGAGGGAATGTTTTAACTAAAATTAGAGCTAAAATAATGAGGGCAAGGAGGATATGGGCAGCTGCCAAACAGGGAGTTTGCAATAAATCGCTCATCTCCCAGTAAGGTACAAATGACAAAGAAAAACCATTGAAAATCTTCTAACTTGATAAAATTTCAACAAAATAAATCATGAGTGTGATTAATCTAAATGTATAAAGATAAAAATTGCAAAATTCCAGGCAAATTCAGCTTCAGGTTTTTTTTAAGTAAGTTCGTAAATTCTACAAGTTCTGAAAGGCCTGCTTTTGTATACATTTTAAGGTATCTATGAAAAACCATGGAAAATTGTAAATTGTCCACAGTGTGCACAGTAACATTGTTCAGCTGTTCTGGAAGAAGTAATGCAGTCACAGTTTAAATCTTTGAGACTGGTATTGATTTAGAAAACTTTAACAAAGATATTAAAATATGGAAGGTAGCTGATTTGATAAATGCAGTCATGTTATAATGAAGTATTACATGTTTTTATTTTTTGTTTTGTTTGAAACCTTATTTTGGAACTTTGGTCACAACAAAAAATATTTCAAGTTATTTGATTGTATTTACTGTTTCAGTTCTTTTGTTTAAAAAGGAAGATTTGCATTTAATATAACTAATGGATAAATTATTCTGACTGGTTATTCAGTACTGGCTATTAATTTGATGCTTTTAATATAGTTAATCAAGGGAGTGTGACATTGGAAGTGTAGCAGTGAAAGTGTGATGGTGAAAACGAGATGGTGAAAGTGTGATGGAGAAAATGTGAATGCATCAAAAAATGTGGTTTCTTACAGGAAGTAAGGGCTGAATGGTAGGAAATACAACAGATATAAGATTTTGTGATCAAATCATTGGCATCATGAAATGGTAGAGCACTGGGGGAGACCGTCATTAATCCATCATTGAAACTACTATCTACTTAGACCCATCTCCCTACACCTTACCTATTGTCCTGCAACTTGTAAGGTTAAAGGAATTGCAATTATTTCCCTCTCTTACGTTTAATGTCTGCTTAGTTAATAAGTTTGCTTCAAGATGATAAAAGTCTGTGAACTACTTTAAAATCTAATATCACCGATAAATTGTAGTCAGCTGATAACAATAATTTAAACATGAAAAACTTTAATAAAGACAATGAAAGTTACGAAAGATCATGGAATTGATAAAATTGCTTGTATCATGGTTTAATACATCATATCTTCTTAGGATCTTTTATATTTTGTTTAAACCCTTTTCGTCATAGAAGTTGTACTTACTATAGAAAAATATCAGAAAATGCTTCTTGAAACATATCAGATTGTTCAAACAGAATAACAAATTTATATTGGAAAAAACAGCAATACAGATAAAAAATGTGGAAGTGGTAAAGATATATCAATAGAAACACAAGTGATGCAAATAGGAGGTATATGCAGATGCAAGATATCTATTATATCTTGGAGGTTATATTGTCAAGGATATATTACTATCCTGTCACAAAGTGTTTATACACATTTTCTTTTACTTTTAATTTTATGCTCAGGGGCAAATGCATGCATAATATGGCCATGAAAACCTCAGGATCACTGCTTTGTACATAATTGTCTGATTTCTGATGGTGTCGCAGTAGTCCAGTAGTCTCAGTGCCCCTGAGAGCAGTGAAAGAAAATCTATTAAACCACTATCCAACTGCATTTGGTATGTGGGGAATCACCTCAGCAAGAAAACCCTGCAGCCCAATGGTATCAATGTGGATTTCACAAGTTTCAAAATCTCCCCTCCCCCTACCGCATCCCAAAACCAGTCCAGCTCGTCCCTGCCTCCCTAACCTGTTCTTCCTCCCACCTATCCCCTCCTCCCACCTCAAGCCGCACCTCCATCTCCTACCGACCAACCTCATCCCGCCCCCTTGACCTGTCCGTCCTCCCTGGACTGACCTATCCCCTTCCTAACTCCCTACCTACACTCACCTTTACTGGCTCCATCCCCGCCTCTTTGACCTGTTTGTTTCCTCTCCACCTATCCTCTCCTCTATCCCTCTTCTATCCGCCTCCCACTCTCTCCGTATTTATTTCAGAACCCCCTTCCCCTCCCCCTTTTCTGATGAAGGGTCTAGGCCCGAAACGTCAGCCTCTCTGCTCCTATGATGCTGCTTGGCCTGCTGTGTTCATCCAGCCCTGCACCTTGTTGTCTCGGATTCTCCAGCATCTGCCGTTCCTGCTATCTCCACCTCAGCAAGAATGATTGTTTTGATCAATCAATATGTCATTACTCACAATCTCAAATCGCTTTGCAAAATGGCATTTGGGTTTTTTGTGCTGGGATGGTAGTGTCCCTACCTCTAAGCCAGGAGGCCTGGCTTCATGTCTTACCTGCTCCAGAGGTGTATCATAACATCCCTGGGCAGGTTGATTAGAAAATATCTGAAATTATCTGCTGATGTTTGTGTTACTTGTATGTCACTGTCAGTTGATGCCTACAGGAGACAGAAACTGGGCAAAGTTGAAGGAAAAAGTGGTAAACCTCAACCAAATTAAACAAGGCTGTGAAGTTCTGGAAAAAGAATACTATCTCATCTTAAAAGAAGCGAGAATAGGCCAAGTTTAAACAGAAAAAAAGAATTGCTTTGAAATTCTTCGGACGGATTTAGTTGCATAATTCAATCGTAAAACTTTTTATTTGCTTACCAACTGCCAAGAACTGCATCTGTTTCATTTAAATATAGCTCACTGCAGATGCTCTGATGAAGTGATATACCAGGCACTTTAACAAACTTAAAAGATGCTTGCAGTTCCTGTTGTAAAATTATCATAACAGAAAAATATAGTTTCAAAGAGCTCACTTATTTCTATCTTCAGATACATTTTCCTGCTAGTTTGAACATTTTTCAGGCCTAAAAATAATTGGTCTATATTGTGAAACCCACTGTCTGTTTTGTCACATTTGGGTAGATTTTAAGTTGCAACTAGTCTGTTGTAGAGTATGCTACCTTATTATTGCCTTCAGGAAAATGTGAACTTTGCAAATGTTTTTGTTCATTCTACATAGAAATCTGTTAAACACGTATCAGGTGAAACTGCAGAATTAGCTTAAACTCACTAATAGAGTCACATGCTGGCATAGATGTGGTGGAGTTTATATGTGACTGGCCGAGCATAGGATAGCCTGAGACATGTCACTGACAAGAAAAAGAAAAGGTACTCACTTGTGACACAGAGTAGCTAGCATAACGACCTCTCATCACAGCCAACTGGGCTGCCAAAGGACAAATGAGTTTAAACGTGAGAACATTATTTAAACTGGCAACAACACACTGCAGCACCACAGAGCTACACCAAGAAGAAGAAGAAGAATACCTCTTCCAAGTATCAAAGACAATGGATACCTGAAAAACTGGGTCAGAAGATGCCTATCACATGCACCACAACAGGAAGATACTACACGCCCTGACACACTTACCACGCTACCTTACATCAGGAACATGTCTGAACTAATCACAAGACTCCTACGACCACTGGGCATCAGAGTAGCACACAAGCCCACATCAACCCTACACCAACTGCTCACCCGGACCAAAGACCCACTACCTACTATGGACAGGACCAGTGTCATATACAAGATTATCTGCAAAGACTGCGACAAACACTACATCGGACAAATAGGAAGGAAATTAACCACAACCGTACACAAACATCAATTGGCAAAAAATGACATGACCAATACTCACTCATCTCCATCTATATGGATAAGGAGAACCACAATTTGATTGGGACAACACCAGGATCCTGGGACAGGCAAAGAAGAGACAAGCACAGGAATTCCTAGAAGCCTGGTACTCCACTAAGAAAGCAACCAATAAATACATAGAGCTAGACCCCATACACACTCCATTGCAGAGGAAACCCGGAAGTGAGGTAATCGAGCTCAACTGACACCAGAGTTTAAATAACAGGCGGGAAAACACAACAGCGCTTCATTGGAGGCTGCACTGATGATGTTACCCAGCAGGGTAATGAAATGTCTGCGAAACAATGAACCAGCTCGGCGAGCCAACCAACCACAGTGGCCCTCAATATGATAGGGTATGGAAGAATGGAAATGACTGGCATTGAACCTTGATGCTGACCAAACAAGGAAAGAGCACCACATCATTAAGGATACGTGATCCAAATCAGACACTGGTTCAGGGATAGTAAGAACTGTCGATGCTGGAGTCAGAGATAACACAGTGTGGAGCTGGAAGAACACAGCATATATATTTAGACATATTTATCATCATGTTGATTCTCACTATAAAATACCTTTAGTACCAAGACAACATGAAGGAGAAAAATGTGCTTTGCTGACCATAATAGCACCCATGAATGTCGGGGATGAAAACTATGGTTAAATTGGATTCCCAATCAACATTGCATGAATCCTTTTATTCTTTGAGATCTCTGCCCAAAGGCAGGTCTGACCCACAGCTCCATCATCGGTAGGGCAAGGAAGTAGCTGCCCCAGCTGGAGTGTGGCTTGAAGTCCATGGTATTGGCACCAAACTGATCTGTTCCAGCCATCTAACCAAATGGAACCACCAGTCCTCCACGATTTGCATATTGCTGTGGCCACATATGTGTCTACCAGCATGTTGTAATTTGGAGCAATGGATAATGATAGAAGGAGCTTCAATTCTTTCCATTACGTGATCAACCAGAAATCTCTCCCTGTCTTATCTCCCACACTGGCCTATGTTGGAAGGGTTTACGGTTTGATAGTTGACATGTTTGATCACTTTATCAATGCACCTTCTGTGGCCATCAAGTCCTGGAGTGGGATTCAAACCCATTGTTCCTGGCTCAGAGGTAGGGCCATGACACACTGTGCCACAAAACTGCTCCCTGCATAAATAAAGGAGAACATATTGTACAACAGTATAGTTACACAATACCACATTTGTACCAGGTTCTTGTGTTCCAATAAGATGCATCATTGTTATATTGATGAAAGTGATATTTACGTGAAATTAAAGTGAAGTACCAGTTGCCTGTTAATTCATGTTTAATATGCATTGAATTTGATTGGGTTTAAAGTGAAAGTGACAACAAGTGAAATGTTGTTGCTAATTTCTTCCTCAGGTTCATCGTAAATTTAATTACTTTAGTTTATGGTTTACCCACTCGGATTAGAATATGCAGGGGTCAAGCACTGAAGGGAGAGTTGTTTTAATGAATGATTTGAAAGAGTCAGTCAAACTAAGCCACTTTAGGTGCCTGTACACAGCCTAAAACCACAAGGAGAACAGAAAGTAAGGTCAAAAAAGTTCAATCCCCGCAGATTGTGTTTGTGCAATGATTGAGGCTGAGACTGATGTCCTAGCAGAGATGAGATTAACAATATTTGACTTCACACCTTGTAGAGGAACCTCATGTGTCAAACTGATCTGAAATTCTGGTTCCCCACTTTAAATAATTGAGGTTCCCATGAGGTGCAACACTACTCCCAAGCAAACCAACACAGGGTGCGAATTACTTAATCTTCGTTATTATTAGGCAAAATGTTTCACAGTGGGAGTTCTTTCTAGTAGGTGTCAGTTATCTCCTTTTCATTGATAGTGTCTAATCTCATGGGTGTATTTTGTGCACCCCCTTCAATTATAAGACTAGAACGATGCCAATAAATTCTTTGATTTATTATTGGCATTTAATTCCTTGCTGACTCCTTACTGGAAGAATGACTAAGATCAGCAGAGACCAGAAACTAAGCCAATGGTCCATAAGTCTTAGTACTGTAATAAGCAACTGGTCAATCAAAGAATACAAACATGGAGAATGCTAGAGAAACACTGCAGGTCTGGCAGCATCTTTGGAGACATTAACAGAACTGGTTCTGAAAAAAAAAGTCACACTAAACACAAAGTGTTAACTCCTGCTCTCTCCACAGATGCTGCCAGACCTGTTGAGTTCCTCCATGATTTTCTCTGTTTGCTTCAGATTTTCAGCATGCACAGTATTTTGCCTTTATTTGAAGAATACCACAGGATACAGTAAAAAGTGACTTAATTTAGTCAACACACAAATCTTAAAATGATAATTTTCCATTATTGTTCTAGTGCAGTGAATGATGCTTCTAATTCCAGCATGTGGAAGCAGGCACCTGGTCAAGGTACTATTCACAATGCAATA